ATTGGATATAATCAATTGAAAACGACTGCAGCACACGTCTTACCCGCGTCTGTCAATCAATTTGTTTATCGCCACAAGTTTCTTAAGGTCGTGCTGAAAATTGGTCCAGCCACGTTTTGGGACAGGTTACACTGTTAAACCTGTGCTTGCTAATTTCATTTACCAGTGATTGGGTAAGATCATAGTCCGTAAGGTGAGCGGGGCTGGACACTATGGTGAATGCAAGAGTTTCCCTCTCAAGTTCCTGGTGGGCAGCTTTTCCGACTTTTATTATTTGCGACCTGGCATTGTCGTGGAGAAAGATAACTTAGCCTCGTCTATAGAACCCTTTCTGTGGGATAGCCTCGTTCATTTAGTGCAACTGGGTTATATGCAGACCTTTGTTAACCATCTTACTTTTTCAAGCATTCCTTAGTCCGTATAAAACAATTTTAGTTCTACCAAACGCAAATTACGGTTTTTTCTCCTGGGATGAAAATCCAACTTAACTTTGAGCTTGGACTGGACTCGAAACTGCCTATTTTTTTTTTTTCTCTGTACTCCATCTCTTAGTGATAACACCATTTTCAGTCACCGGTGATAGCTTGGTGTAGAACCTATCATTGCGGTTGCGTGTTGCTCGATCTCGAATAAGATGTTGAAAGGCAAGAAGAAACGGTGCTTTTCTGCGGATTCGTGAGCATTTAAACTCCTAAAATTTGGGTATAGATTCAAGGTGTCTGTTGATTTGCCATATGACTGTAATTTATTTTCTCGTTTAACTCATGAATTTGCCGGCCATTTTCTGTTAAAAGTGCGTTTAACTTCTTCTTGTCGAACTCAGACGACCGACTGAAGCGGGGCGAATCCACCGCTTCTAGGATGTGTTTTGCAAACTAGTGTTAAGCAGTGCTCTCAGTAATGGGGTCTTTGCTGTACATGGCGCAAATATCCCGTATTGCCTCGGAAATCGTTTGACCTTAGCAAAAGATGAAGGAGCGTAAATGTAAAAAATGGCCCTGAAATTTTTGTTTGTAGAATTACAACTCGACATGAAATTCCATTTACTGCACACTGAAATTTTAACTAACTTTTAAAAGAGAGAGCAGTGTATAGAGGTAAATAAACAGTGTAGAGGTAAAAGGAAAAGGAAATACTAAAGGTAACAAAAGATACTTGTGTTACAGCCTAATATATGTACCTCATTGGCGGCCGATCCGGTACAATTTGACGAGGTCAAATACAGAGTGGGAAAGTTGAAATCACCGGGTAGTTGATCCCAACCAGGTCCCCGAGCTCCTTATGCACGAATTCTATATTGAAGATCAATTGACAATCTAATTGGGGACATAGATTACACAATATCAAGTTTTGGAATTATAAATGGCATTAATAGCGAATGTTTCAGAATTCAAAGTTATGCGCTGCTATACCACGGAACGGAACTCAGGTTTTATTAGTACACATTCGTTTTCACCTACACGATCAGGTCGGTAACGGCCACAGAAAGAAGCTCAGCATAAGGACCCTTCACGTTTTTGTAATTATAAAATCATACATATGGGTGCAAAATACAAAATCGTACACTGGAAGTAGTAGACTCCCATAGGGAATTACAGGCACTTTTTTTTGAGAAAAAGTGAGGGGTTAATTGATAAGCAAGTAATATATTTAGATAAACACGTTGCTCTTCAACTGAGAGTTGAGTTTTGCCACGAATCAGCAAGATAATCAATTTATTGCTTTTTTGGATGCAAATCAACAATGCTGAGGTTCGTTCCCGATCTCTATAGTTCGTTATTATTGTTTCATTAGCACAAATCGACTTAAAGCTTTACTTGAATGGGTGATGAATAAGAGTGATTACCAAATTGAAGTTGAACTTTCCTGACCCTAGGCGTTGATTCCATGACTTAGCGAATACTAAAGCATCTGAACTACAACGACCTTTTCCTCCAGAACGGACACAAATATCTATGGACTTTGAATATAGAAGTGGAACGCAGGTACTTGCGAAAGTTCATTATTACTGGTCTAAAATGACGTAGAATGTGAACTCTGTCATGTATTTTCTATTAAAGGTTGTTGAGCGTTTCGCCTACTCGCAAGAAGTTACCTCCGTTTCTACACCTAGATTTCTTTCCATTTCGTACAAAACTTTTACGCCCGCCTATATGAGGCTGCTAATTCCTCGTTATGAGAGTTCCTGCGAATAATGCCTGAAATGCTGAGCGTCACGAAACGCTTTGCTAATTCGATACGGATGCGCCGCGGTGTGCACGTCAATCTATCTTGTAATTAGAACAAGACAGTCTAGGCTTTTTTGGTAATACGCGCTTCACAATGCGTGTGCAGGTTCCTTGCTTACATTAAGACGTACTCGAATTTTTCTAAACAGAAACAGCGGTAACACTTTTCCGGTTGAGTCCAGTGGGTATGCCATCATTGAATGCATGAGATGGAGGGTTGCAATTCAGACAGTAAAACGTAATTAGTTTATTTTTTTTTCCAATATTGTCGGTGTTCAATGGATTGCACTCAGGATAATCTTGTGTTGAACGCAACGCGTGCAGTTCATCGAGCGGATCCGGTTGTTACAGTTTGGAGATCTTCTGGGCTAATGGGGGAGCTTATTCGTGATAAAACCGATATTATCGGTAGTGTTTTTGCTATTATTATCTATATTCATTATACTGAATATACACTCGCACAAGTCAGACAAGCAGGAAGAAAATGCAGGATCCAAAAAAGCTTTGAGAGCCTGATTAAAACATCGTGATTCCAACTTTATTTAACAAACAAACGGTTGCACAAACAATTATTATTACAAAAGAGGAGGATAACCAATCATAGATTTAAACACTCGTCATTCTGCTAAGGATGGACTGTATTCATTAAACCATAATTAGCTATCCATTTAGTAGAATTCATTCGAGAGTCAGTGTTTATGTTCTCAACGACGTAACCAATCGACAGAAGACAGATCTGCTTATTCTGCCTGACAATTTGCCCAGCTTTTCAACAAGATAGGGCCACAGGCGTCGACTTCTGCACAGAAACATCAGAAGGCACGAGCAATGGCGCCTTCTTTCAACATAAAACAGCAAGTCTTGGGTAGCTTCAGGTTCAGTTCATAATTGTGTAGAATATCCGACTATTCGGTGAAAGTGAAAATCTGATACACTGCAAAAGTTCTTAGGAAGGACAAAACAATCAGGCGAAGTACCTATTTAGGTCTACTGCGTACAGTAAAAGCAGATTTGTAGCAAAAAATTACCTATCGGAACAACCATATTTTCGCTGCTTCAGAACTCAAAGTTCTACACACACCCGGCAAACATTATGAGGTCGCTTTCTATAATTTTGTTTAGAAGATTTTCCATGGATATTCCAAATCTTGTCTATGAATTAGCGAACTATTTTTTAAGAACTCATATGGCTTCAGTCATGGGGTTGTCCTGTACGAAGTGCAAGTATCATACCCGGTTACCACGCGGAGCTCAGTCCTGTAACACTATTGTAGATCTTAAAATGCAGTCTCATAGTCTGATAGACAGTCCTAGAATTCATGTCGGGTGCCAACGCACAGTCATAGTAAAACAAACTAGAACACAGTCAACTCCAATGCAGGATCAACGCACTGATGATTCTTAGCCGTGTAGCCGGGAAATAATCGAACTTATTGAAATATACAATTCACGCAGAGTTCTGATGCAATTTTTATTTGGGTCGATCGGTCATATCATAGATAAACTATTAAGCTAGACTTGAACTTAGTTATGGAGATATAGGAGAGACAGGCTCTTTTTTACAGCATATACTTCATAAATAAGAACACAAAGGCCGACCAAAAATCGTCAATTTTAGCTAGCGACAGTGCCAACTAGTAACTCTTTGTAAATAGAGATGATAAAACTACTTCTCTCGTTATTGGAGTAAGCCTTCGATCAACTACCTAGGTAGCCGTCACGTCAGAGATAACAAATTATTTAAAAATATTTAAATGGAAAGAGGTCGTGAGTAGTATTATGAATCACGGAATAAGAAAAAAAACAGGCAAATTAAGTAGTTATTACTGAGGTTCACCTTCTATATAGGTTGTCACGCTATAGTTCGCATGGTTGCAAAAATCAGAAATTTACACCACCGTGCAGGACCTCAATCAAGCAGTTGTTTATTCATCATTGCTACTGGTTTCACAACTAGCTCGCTAATAAAAAGATAGGTACTTCGTACATAGGCACTTTGAATCATGCGAGAACTGTGGCGTACAGGGCATTATTTGGTTGGCTCCCATGCTGCTGAAACTACAAGTGCCCCACACACAAATTGACTATCAAATGTTATATTTTAGTTTTTTTTTTACATTTACTTTTGTTAATGATTGACTGTATTATATGACTATCTGGTTCAATAAAAATGATACATCGCTGTCTGTAACGGTGAATCTGTGTTTTGGCAGAAGTAGTGAGAGATCGTTAGCTGTAATTTATCGTCAAAAAAAAGCTCAACCTCGAAGCTTCCATTTCTAATTCGGCCGCAAGTTTACTGCTTTTAATACGTTAGATCATTTCTTTTCAGATTAATAAAAAAAGTTTTAGCACAATTAGTGTTGATGTAGCGTGTCAACGTCTTGAGACATAATTGTGGGTTGAACTTATAAAAATTTAATCATCGTATCAACAACAGCGCCGAGAGACAGTAACGTGTCAAAAACTGTTGAGTAGGCTTTTGTCAGAATCGACCAGAGCTAAAAATGAAAATATCGCAGCGATGTATGGACAGACGACCGCTCAATATCACTCACTCAAGAAGAATTAAATGTAGCTACGGTAATCGTAAACATTCCTTGAGTAAGAAGACACAACTAGAGTGATAATACTGTTGTACATAAAATTAAGCGGAAGTAAGTCATAGTATTTGTCAAGCCAGTTGTGCTCATATCCTTAGTAGGTATCCATTGATAACTATTTGTAGGATTCTTTGAAACGATATCAAGCAGTGCCGAGTATCATACGTACCTGAAGACACGTGATGATGAAATAAGTGCACACTGTGCGAGGTAAGGCTGTTATTTAAGCAGTTATTAAGAGTGTTATTTGACGAGTGATTGTTGTTGTTGAGGTTGTTGGTGGTTAATGTAAGGCTGCCAGCTGCTGAATGGTGCATTGGGCTTCTACCATGTTGTTCAAGGATTTGCAAGGCAGTCTGAGAAGGTGGGCCCTGCGTACTGGCGCCTGTTAAAGGCGTCAAAGGCGATAAAGGTGATAGACAAGGCGAAAGTGGAGGCTGGGTATCCACTATCCCTCCAGCATTGACCAAAAGATGGCCTTCGCCTCCAGAAGGATCGAGCGACTTCATCTCGAGAATTGGCGAGGATCCGATCGTGGTGCAGCCGAGTGCTTCATCTTTTACTGAAATAATACGTTAAAATATGTGTAAGTTAAATTGGTTTCGTTTCCTGCTGCAAGCTCCCTGCATTATCAGAAAACCAAACATCTGAACGCAATATAATGGACTGAGATAAAAACAAACGAAAATTACCGGCTTATTCAGTGGGCACCAGAAAAAGTCTACAGATATCTAAAGAACTGTCCATGATTTGTAAACATATAAATACATGTTTGTAAACCATACAAAGCGGCATGGCTCGCGAAAGAGTGACGGGACAATCCTAATTTTGTGCAACAAGAAAAGAATTTTTTCACTATAGGTGGTTGTCGACTTATTAGCGTTCTTTTAGTCAAAGTGGTTGCAATGAAACGGTTAACTAGAGTTAACAAATGTGGCCTAGTTTTGAGTCATATGGTTAAGTAGAAATGGAATGATAAACAGGCACCTCATGCTAAGCAGGATCGAAGAATGATTAACCTTTAGGAACTCAACGCCTTTGTAGGTAGCAGTGACAATGTTTTCGCGGATAATAGCAAATTAAGCCATTATTATGAGGTTTATTAAGATAAATTTGACTGTTAGGGAAAAACGGCAAGTGTCCTGTAGTAGACTGAGAGTATCTTTACGAAAGTAAGACCGCATTAGGATTATAATCTATAGAGTAGGTTAAATATTAATAGTTCCGGAAACCCCGTTCTGTATTGGAAATCTAATGGTTACAGGCAGCGCTAGCTTTGTGGCAGGGGCCGAGTCTGTCAGGACCGGATGGAACCTGCGACTGATTTTCCTACACTCGCTTTTAACCTTGGGCGTTTTATAACAGCAAAAAACTCGTGCAGGCAGCAATAAACTTGTAGGCAATCTAGCGACTAAAATCCGTTTATATTTAAGCCGATGGAGATCCGTCTAGCGTTATTAATGCCCAGTCACGACCTACGTTTGTCGATAAGATAAAGATTAGAACGAGACGCTAGAGAGCGTTTTTAACTGTCTTACCTGGTAAGTCTGATATTACATTTTTGAAAAAATTGACATCTTTAAGTAGTTCTTGCTAAGAACGATAATGATAATTTATATTTTTTTAAATATTTTTTAATAATATCTTTTTAAGCTAATTTAAAGGCGTAAACATGGCCGTTTTTTGTTTATTATTCTTCTGATTCTCTGTTTGTTAATGCCTATTATATTTGAATGCAAAGTTCTTTTCGTGTTTTATAATAGCAATTTTAGCAATGTTAGGCATTTTTTAATTAGTATGAAAAAACCTTGCGAAATTTATTATCATTCGTGTTAGGAAGAGAGTACTCTTTAGAGAGAGACTCTTTAGCTGAGAGTACCACATAAAAGTAACTTCATCAATTCACTTAAGGAAAGCATTTAACCTGACTTCCTAAATTTGTCAAAGATAGTTTTTAACCACTTTTTAAGATGAACAAAAATTAGATAAGACTACATGTTTTAGTTGGGTGAACCTGATTCTAAGCAGAATAAATAATTATAAATAAAGATTTCTATATTCTTTTAGCAGCTCTTCGACTTCTTTAAAAAAAAATATTAAAAAAAGCGCATGTTAAAAATAAGCTTTCTGTTATCCGATATATTTAACTTTGGGGTCAAAAGAAAGGGTAGACTTTTGAGACCTATGCTGGAGGGCGACGCCGGCCTCGTAGAGCCATAAACGATTTCTAATCGTTTACAACACATTACCATTAGCAAGTAAATATTATAAAACCAGAAGATATAAAAAAAGTAGGCAGAGTAATCTTCAGCGAAGCACCTTTAGTATTTCGTGAATTGTTGACACGCGGCTTAATCACGATATACTCAAAATAATTCAGCTAGTATCTAGTGTCGGTAATTTGCAAATCGAGACTACAATATAATTAAACCAATTTTGGACCCTTAATCAAACTTATAGCAGGTTGTCATCGCCCGCTCGATTTAAACATAAAAAAATTGAAACGTAAATGTCGTTTTGCGGATACCAAGCCCAACATTTACATAGCCACAATTGTGTGAAACGTTACTTCGGGTTCTACATTTCTGGTCCTGTGTCGTTACTCGTTTTGATACTATCTCGCCCTCCAAGGAAGAAGGGCTCAGCAAACCTCTGCCTTTTGTCTGTGTCTTATTTACTGCTATTCTTCTTTGAGCTCCATAGCCTTTGTCACGTACTCGGAAATTGTTGTCCACCTATCTTCATCCGGGAGCACCCAGTTTAGCATGACGCCAAACTTAAATGGGCGCTCTCCTTTCTTTCAACTTTTAACCTTTTCCCCTCGAAGAGTGTGATATGCTCCAGTGAATGGATCATTGCACACACATCGCAGTATTTTATGCGATGCACGAACACGTTGGGCCTTTTCTTATTCTATGAACTTTTACCGAGTCTAAGCCAAGACAACAGCGCTTGTTGTATTCACTAAATTCTGTAAGGGAAACACCTGTGAGGGGTAACAAGTACTCAGAACTAATCTTATTCGACTAAACAATAACATACGCACTGACAAACCCTCAATAACTTTTAACATTTTTACCTCTAACGGTGATGACCATCGTGTAAGTCGCTCTCACCTTATGTGGCATTAGTGGCGCTCTGAAGGCTCCGACCGTTAGCCTTTTCATTTATTAAATATCATTGTTCTATCATCAGTACGCACTATACATCATCTTTGACTTTTATTGAATACGTCATAGCAATAAGACGATCTCATAACCGTCTTGATGCGTGTAATTTTAATTACGCTTGCAATTCAATTTCTTTCTCTTCGCCTGAGGTTTTTTTGAGGCTTTCTCGCCTTGGGTGCTGGGCTACCATTTGAAACAGCGGTTTTTACCTGTTAACCTGGCTTTTCTGAATCAGGCACTTAATCCCGCAAAATAGCTTTACGGTATTGGAAAAAAAATGCACTTCCAACAGATTTTCTGTATTCTAATGTCCGGTTTCTTCTACCATATCAAAAAGATTAGCCCAAGGAAAAAGAGAATTAATTAATTTGCCGCGGGCTCGAGGTAAATTTACAGTTGCGAAAATATAGCATTTACCTGCATAGCGATGAGCCATTTCATTGTGCTACACACTCTCATGTAAGTAAAGTTACAAACACTGATGCTACTTGCGGTTGAGGGAACGCTTGCAGTAAGAGAGGCAGCCTCCTCTCTTTCCCAAGAAGCTGACAAAAGATTAAGGCGGGTCTTATATTGGGCACCTAAAGTGATTGGTGGTATCTTTCAGGCCATTTAGGAAAGAAGACACTGCTAATGTTTAAGGGCATTATCCGTAAATAATGAGATAGTTACGGCAGCTTAATGCAGTCGTCTAAATATATTGCCATGGCGAATACACGTCGAAAAGGGCACAAGCGTTTGCTTAGTTTCGCCTAAGCTCAATGGCAACGGTTCAGTGTCGGTGACCCTATCTGGATATCGCAGAGATCTATGTAGAAATATATGGATCTATCAATGTTGATCTAATTATGGTTGCGCCCATGAAATCCATTGGTCTCTCCTTTTTCGTGTACTTCCTTTCAAAAATGTTAGCGAGTACTAACATCTATAAAAAAAAAAAAATAAGTTTTAGAAAGCTGACACTACAATTACCCAGGAGATTGAACCCAACTCTTGCTTAATAATCACATGTTTGCTTAATAATACCTTTATGGCTACTGAAATGTCAAAAAATTTACATCATACATAGTTATTCGTTACGTTGACCGGAACTAATGGTAAGTCTGAGTAGAACTTTAAATATTTGAAGTTGATTCCTATTGTTGCCGGAATCCATAGTAGAAACAATAGTTAGTTATAGTAGATGAGACAAACACTGTAATTTAATTTCAAAACTTACCAAATAATTTTGAATATGAAAGATCAACTGAAAAAGTTAGCATAAACATTTGGCGAAAATGACTAATTTGATCACATTTATGAGTAAAGAAAGTTAATTTTGGCAAACCGGCCAGTATTACTATTGACTGATCAAGAAATGCTTACTTTTCTAAATTCTTAGTTGCGATTGTTTTGTTTAAATCACAGAGTTTTCTTTGAACTTTGTGTTTTGAGAGCGGGTATTTTGAATAAAAAAAGTCAGCGTTAGTAATTTCAATGGGGTCCGGTTCAACGATATTAAACAGTGGCTGATTTTCGCTTATGCCTAGGGCAAACTGGCGCTCCGCCATGACGGATTTGAGATTTCGTTTTAGAAAGAATAGGCATTATTTTAAGAGCAATGGCTTGGCACATTCTGTCTGTAATAAATAACCTGCCAAAATGTGGGATGACTAACGATTATGTTAACAGCGGGTCCAATTGTCGAGTGCCCGGGTAATTAAACGGCGTTGCCGGAATCACTGACAGTACCGGCAAGGGATGTCCCGAGAAACCTTTGACTCGCGTGCATAGGACACGCTACATGAAGCGACTTCAAAAAAGAACTGTAAAGCTGCCAAGGGAAGTCGGGCGGTTTTCGTGCCTTTTTAAAATGAACGAAGAGGCTTTCGAACGGTTTGCATCCGCTGAATAAGCACCGCTGGATAAGCTGCAACCAAATAAAGAAGAAATATATATAAAAGCATCTTCCTAATAAACGCTAAAAAAACTATGCTACTTTCTATTACGTAGCATGTCTGCAATTCTCACCCTCTACCGTGTGACCCCTGGATTAGCCACTCTTGGTAAGCGGCGATAGTACGGGTGTTGCCGGAAATATGGAAGGTCTTTCAACGCAGGCAGAGAAGTCCGAGAAGATTACAACCAGTTCTGTCAGGGTACCGTATGAAGTGTCAGTGTTTTCAACCTGTCATCAGCGATACCCAAATGTTGATAAAACTGTACGTTGGCCGATGGCGTAGTATTTTCTATAGAGCGATACCTAGGTTGAAGCATATAAGTTCGTATGAGGCTGCGATGAAAACTGGCTTACAACAAAAGTCAAGAGAGTGTGCCCTTGCCTACTCCGTTGCTTAGGAATCCGTGAGTTCCTCGCGGGAAGAAAACGACTTATCAACTCTATCGGGCCAGG